CGAAACGCGATCACAGCCCTCAATCGTTTTCGTGCCGCTGGCGCGGATTCCCTACCACCTGCACTATTTAAGGATGGAGGTGAGGTCCTTTGCAAAGCACTGACCTCCCTATTCGAACGTATCTGGAACGAAGAGAGTGTGCCGGCTAATTGGAGCGAATCAATTATAGTGGCAATATACAAAAAGGGCAGTCGCACAGACTGTGCGAACCACGGGGGTATTAGCCTAACGCCAGTTGTGACAAAATTACTGGCCTCGATTATCGTTCGTCGCCTCACTGCAGAACGGGAATCTCGGATTAGGGAAGAGCAGGCCGGTTTTCGCCCAGGACGTGGCTGTATAGACCATTTATTTATTTTTTATATTTATTTATATTATTATTTATATTATTATTTATTATTATTATGATATATTTATTTATATGTATATTATTTATATTTACTTTGCGGCAGGTGCTAGAGCAGCGCCACGCATGCCGCAGACCGACAATAGCTGTGTTCCTCGATTTCAAGAGTGCGTTCGATTCAGTCGATCGATCGATTCTGTTCGAAATACTTGCGCGGAAAGGTGTTCCCACGAAATATGTGAACATCCTTCGTGCTCTATACTCGAACACTAGAGGCCGCGTCAGGGTCTATGGTGCCCTATCGGATAGCTTTTCGACTACAAGTGGCGTTCGACAGGGTTGCCCGATTTCCCCGTTTTTGTTCAATTTCGTCGTGGATTCTATCATGGAGTGTTCCCTTGCGGAATCTCACGATGTAGGTGTTGAAGTGCTGCCTGGTGAACGGTTAGTTGATCTAGATTATGCGGACGATATCGTCTTGCTTTTCGACAATGTTGCGACGGCACAATCAACCCTGAATAGCCTATCCAGAGTGGTCCCATTATTTTGTATGCACTTCGCACCTTCAAAATGCAAAGTGTTGCTGCAGGACCACCAGCCACTCGATGACCCCTTGAAGCTTGCTAACGAGGAACTGGAGGTGGTTGATCAATTCACTTATCTTGGCAGCTGCATCAGCAATGATGGGCGCATAGAAACTGACATGAGCTTACGCATTGCAAAGGCCAGAGCTGCCTTCTTGAACCTGCGTCATCTTTGGCGACAGAAGGGAGTTTCCCTCCGTCTGAAAGGCCGTGTATACAAAGCCACAGTGAGGGCCGTTCTGCTGTATGGTAGTGAGACTTGGCCCCTTCGGTCTGAAGATCTGAGGCTCCTTCAAGTCTTTGATCATCGTTGTTTGCGAAGCATTGCTGGTGTCGAATGGCACTAGCGTGTCCGCAACGATGATGTGCGTAGGCGAGTACTAGGTGGTGATGATCATGCTAGCTCCCTAGAACAACAGATAGCACTGAATAAGTTGCGTTGGCTCGGGCACGTGCTACGCATGCCTGATCACCGCTTACCCAGGAGGGCCTTGTTCAGTCTTCCAGGTGTAGGATGGCGCAAGGCTCGAGGTGGACAGAAGTTGACTTGGCAGCGGGAAATGAAGTCACTGACGACCAAACTGGGTGCCGTTGGTCCGTCTCGCCTTCCGGGTTGGAGTCCACGTGACTCACCTTGTGCTTGGCTCGAGACTTTACAGGATATGGCTCGCAACCGACACCAGTGGCGCGTCTGCTGCCGTCTCCTAATCGGATTGTCTGTTTAAAGTGTGTTTGGTGCTGAGTTATCTGCGGGGTAATGGCTGATTATGACGCGTGGCAGTGAAAGCCGCAAGGAAGCTGTCTCGCCGATGCCGCCTTATCTTTGCACGATAGCCAGCTGTTTGTGACGGAATGTTGTCTACACAAGGTGTAGGCGCCTTGACCCTGAATGTTTGCTTAGGGCATTAAGGTTTTCAGGCAAGTCCCCCTTCTCTCCCTCTTCTTATTCTTTATTTCATAGATTCTCATGGTTGTATGGCAGCGAAGCATCAGTTCAAATGGCTGATGTACTGCTGTTGATGATGATGATTATTATTATTATTATTACTGCCTAATAGGAAAAAAAGTGTTTTAAAATGTCAACGGAAATCTGCCTTCGATGACAGATGATGCTTTTTGTCATTGTAACTGTACACTTCTGTGCAGAATTGGATGAATGGAACAAGTAATAAGATATTTTTGGTTTATAGAACAACCTAAAACTTTACTTTTTTGAACTACCCCAAATAGCTCCGCTATAGGCTATTCATGATTGGCAGTAAACGTTTCCATACTTTCCTGACTAAGTGTTTACGAGTTGTCAGAAGTGCCTTATCCTGCAAGGTATCAGATGACTTGTGTTAACGCTATCCCTTAGCTTTGTGCGCATCTACAATATTCGGTTAATACTTAAGGATCAGTATTCGGAGACAGGTGAGTTGCAATAGCGGTCATTTCAGAGCCTGGCCATGCTAATTTGCTCTATGGCCTCTAAGCATATATAAGCACACCGTAGTCTATAAATATCGGCGTCACCTTATATTTTACTCAAACTCATATCGTCACGCTTGTTCATAGCAACCGGTAAACCTGGACCTGTACACAAACAGCTGTTTGGCAGTCGTCAACTGTCGCACATGTGTCCTTGTTCCAGTGTTAGACTGGGCTTAACCTTCCTAAAAACATCCGTAGAGAGCAGTGTAGTTATTTATTACCATAACACTTTATTGAGGGAATGGTTTGTACGTATAAACTCAGTTGCATCTCAAGCCACATTACATTTTTTGAGCTTTGCAGGAAACTGGTTATTATCTCGTCTATTGTTTGCCGGTTGTTTCGCAGCATGTATCCGTAACCTTCATCGTCTACTACGAACATCACTTTACTTGCACATCAAAGTGTTACGGCTTACGAAAGGACAAGATCGGCTTCATGCTACCTCAGCACGGTTCGTAGCTTTGTCGTACTTGGCTGTTCTCCTTCCTACCGATTCCCTACTCTACTCGTGGTAAAGATAAAAACCATGCGTATTTCGACTTTCCAATGGAACGGTCCTATTTTAGACCGTTTCCGATTCAGTATGATGGAAATCTCAATCAGTTTGATCTGAGATGCTCTTCACCATGTTGAAGAAACCAAGGACCACCACAGTAGCGTTTGTACGATTATCACATATCAGCATGCTAAATCCTTTTACAGAAGCATTACTTTATTACTATACAACCAAACTGATGTGGCGCACAAATGTACGTATCAGAAATAAGTATTAAACTGACTACTACATATTGATTCCCTTTCTATATCTGTCCTCGCACTCTGAAGTGGTTTATATTACTTCTGTCGTCAAGTTTGTTCACTTTCAGACCACAGATAGGGCAATGATCTTATCACCTTTGCCCCTTTTAGTTCAGTATTCTATGCCTTGTTCTGTCTGTATACGTTTTGCTTCCGGTTTCCTTTTGCTCTTTATACTCCGCTGATGTAACTTATACACAAAAACGTTGCAGTCCTGACAGGATACTTTTGTGTCACTGGGTAGTAACCGCTGAATATTGCTCCTGGACGATTAACCTGCGTTTGTTCGGACACCCGATGCACCTGTCCACTCAGTATCTATTGCGAAAATCTTTATTTTGTTTGACGCATCTATTACGGCTTGGGGGATTATGGGAACAAACATTGATCTGTCTGCGGAATAGGTGGCGATTGACCATGGGGTGATGTCGGTCAGCCTAGCTTTCCAACTTAGAGACCACGAAACCTGCCTTTTCCTTGGCTGGAGACCTTACATCGTACGGCTGGTTACCGGCCACACTGAGACATTTGTTATCGCCTAGTAACCTAGCTGTTCACTTGGAGCTTGCAAAAGTATGGGTTATCCCCATGGTACGGTTGCTTGTGCCGTTGGATAATTCAAATTGCATACATCCTGTCTTGTCAAAGCAACATCTTCATATGATGGCTAAAAGTTTGTTACCATGTGCAATCGACAAGATGTGGATGTCTGGATCCTAGGTTTTTACTTCAGATCCCCCTATCCCCTACCTTTTCACTCCTTAACAGTACAGTAATTTTATGTTCATAATAATGAGACACCTAACACCTGTGGGAGGTACTGATGTATACCTCTTGGTCACGAGACCTATGAGGGGTCAAGTTCACTTTCTCCTCTTCATCAGTTGCACCTGAAGTTGGTTACAGCTTCCAACAGTCTCATTGTTCGGACCAATAGCACATCGGTACTGCAGGCGCTTCCGAACTGTGGCCTATTTGCTACTACTTTCCACTACTGTATTGTGCAACGCTAGCCGGATTCCAGAATCTAGTGTATTACGTAACTATGATTAACTTTCACTGGTACTCATTTCGCTTCATCGCATACACGAAGGAAAGTTAAGTGGCTGGTTCGTGTAGTACAACAACTTATTGTTGATGTTTTCTTTTATTGCTGTTTATGCTGCACTTTTCAACCCATTCTCGTACTTCGCGTGCCGCTTCAACAAATAGCCGTTCATGCTCAGACCTGTGTATCAACAACATTTTACACGCTCCATTCTGATTGAGTCTGTGCACCCTCTACCTACATAAGCTGGAGATCGGTGATTTCCTCTCTGCTTTTTTGGTATGCCTCTCAAAACTAACAATCGCTCCGCTGATGATTATGTATCTTCCTTCACCTGTGGCTCGGCCGGTGCCCGAAAGAATTGCGCACTTGCCTTGTAATTCGGAACACATGGATTCAGATCCGGGTACTTGCCTCGCCATGTACCCAGCCAACGCGCGATTGATGATGGTTGCGTGGCAACAAACCGTCAATACGCTGCGCCGGCGTACTGCTGATGTCCCTTCCTTTTTCATCGGCGGTCGGAGGTGATGCTTTTCACAATTCGATGAACAACTTCTGGCCTTTTTTCTCTATGAAATTTTTTAACAGCAATTTTAGTTTTTTTTGCGGAGGGAACAAGAGCTGATCGAGGTTGTTTGTCTTGAAAACCCTTTGTGCCAACTAGTTAATCAATGAGTTCATTTTTCCTAGGTAGTTTGAAGTTAAAGTGCAAAATATTTAACACATATCGGTTATTTTTTATCAGATCCTATCCTCGACTCGGAAACACCCCACTTTGCATGGAACTACCTATTGAGGCCTCAGAACCAATTTTGGGAGTGTGCATTCCAAAAATATTCAAAATTTTCCCAACTTATTTCACCAACGACAGACCTTCTCGAGTTGGGCCTCTCATCGTTAAGCTGCATGAGGACCTTGACTTCAATTTGCCATGGGTACAGGTGTTAATCTGCCCCCTAGTGACTCTCGGTAAGTTAAGCCAAACGCTGTAGTCTATCATTGTGCCGAGTTCGGGAGAGAAAGACTAGAGAATGCTCCTGTTCCTGATACCTAAATACATTAACTGTTCTAGCGTACTGAACGCGACAATAACGGAAAGCACATAATTGGTAGCACTTGTACTTCGCTCACTCTTAATTGTCCAACTGGAGTTGCTATTTTGTTACTGTCAGTGAGTCAGTTTCAGATAGTAGTTCGTGTTCATTTGATTCAATACAGTGCATGAAGCACTTCCTTTGTCTTCCGTTACTGTTACCATTCGTTCAAACTGTAAACCCGCATCTTCCTTGTGTCATAGCAACTGCTCATTTGTATAGGATTGCGATTCTTCAGTGTGTTAACTGAAACGCATACTTTGTTTGACCTAATTACTCTGGGAAAATACTCTACGCGGCATCGGTACTCCTCACTCCATGGCTACTGTTCATCTTGGGGCCATGCATGTCCTGATTAATTCTTAAGTGCTATTTAGAAGCTAAGCCATGTACATTCCATTTTTCTTAGACTACTGTACGGTTAAGTGGTTGACGGCGGCAGCCTTGCATTAGTGACAAGACGTTACATTCACCTGAAATTCGTCACACCAAGGCGCTTCTGTGAACCTGTTATCGTTGTTAAAAGTATCGATTCTGTGGTGTTTGTGCTATGATCACTTGTTATTCCACTTGTATACATGTGCATACAAAAACCCGACGATATCAGATCAGCGCACCATGGGATTTCTCTTGGCTTCACCTCGCACCATCTCAAGGTGTTTATGTCTGTATTCACTTTTCCATTTGTTGCATTAAATTTATTAATACGATCCAAGGCTAAGCTTATGTGAATCTGCGCTCGCGTTGTTCCTCCTTCATTTTCAGGCCTTGCATTAATATTTACGCTCTTCGTAAGATGTATTCCGTCTCGCGTAATCCCGTTGGCATTTGTGTGCCTCCATGTAGGATTATGTGGTGAGTCTGGACAAAATGAGCATTTTTGTTAATCAGTTTTTTCTGCACTCTAGCATACACAGCATGATTTTAGTGGACGGGGTGTGGTATATTTCGCGGTTGCTTATCCATCACAGGACCTGACATCGTAATTAACTTGATATGAGTGCACTCAGGATAGTAGACATGCTATTTTTACCTAGCTGTATGCGTTTTTGTAATGATGCCGCCCAAACTGTTGTCTGCACCTTAACTGACTAGTAACCGGATCCCAAGTCTTCGCAACACTCCGCTAGTTTCATCTATAAAGAGCGACACCAGAAGACTCTTATGTTACTAGTTAGCTTACATAAACTATGGTATGTTATCCGTGACAAACTTTCGCCTTATCGAGTTGGCCTGCATAGCAGTAACGTGCAAACTCTTAGAGTGAGCTCCGCCATGCTTCAAGTAATCCCTAAGTTGCGCTGACAGCAGACATCTACCCTACTTCAGGGTCACTTGGCTCTACTCTTATAGGTTGCGTAGTCAGTTCCAGCTCTTCCCTCGCATGGGGAACATTCACTGTTGACTGGCCCGAAAAGACAAAACGACCACCAACTGCCCTCTTGGATATCAGTTTCTGTCTTTCTAAGCGCATCGTGCTAAAGTTTAGTGGATAGTTTTTGAAGTCGTGGTGCGTATTTGCATTCGGCCTTTCTGATCTTGCCTATTCGTAGACACAACTCTGCAGCCGAAAAGTCCTTAATTAGGCTGGCTTTTAGCGTCTGAATCACCACGACCCTTTCCAGCTGCAATTTGAACGATACGTAAAACATGATAAATGTATCCATCGTGTTTTTCTTAACTTTTGTATCATATAGCTTACGCTTTTGCTTTATAAGCTTGACCATTTTTTGATGACGCAACTTTAGATTTTGTGGGCGAACGTAGGATAGCAAGAGGATAGTGTTTACTGTTTGTTTTCCATCTGAAGGCTTTGACTGAACGATATCCGTAGATTACAACCCCTGCTCCACTATCGATATTTATAAGGGACTAGAATTATTCTAGAAGAATTCCTAATGCCTCCGGCACATCGGCGCCTAAAAGAATTCAGACACGACAATCCCTAATTTCTTCAAGCAACACCTTCATCATATGTAGCGACTTACTCACTGTTGTTACGACGCATAACGGATGTCGGTTGAAGACATTAAAGATCATCGTGTCCGATTCTTCTTAAGCGCCAACGTACCGGAGGCACACTAGCATTTGGAGCAACCTTTGGGGGATCAGCAATCAACCGTTTGCTGTAATACCCTTACTTGAATGGACGTTGCTTGAAGTCGTTGAACAGTGTAAAACGGTCATCACTTCCGTGGATTCCCCCTGAATAAACCAACCGTCAGTTCATGAGCGGCTCATTAGGCTTCACAACAGTGGCTTTGCTCGTGTAAATTCCGGACATCATACACCTTCAGCAAAGAATCAAGACTGCATTGTCTGTTGCGCAGAATTCATGGCATTTGGTGAACGGTTATTTTGGGATCGGTGTTTCTTAGTGAAACTCGGAATTGTACATGTCAATTAATTGTGAGTGGGGTTTGCAGCGGTTACAGAGTTTGCGAGAACGTCCAAAGGCTAGCCATTCTCTGTTTGAGAGGTGCACGATGATCGTCGAGCCTACTGTCAACAACGGGTTCGCTGTGCCTGTTCCGTCTAACTAACTGAAGTCTATCTATGTTCCCAGTTGGTATTTATCTCATCATGCTGTGATAAACCCTAAAAAACCACATAAGTTGTAGGTTGTTTTCGCTTGTGCTGCTAAATTCAAGAGCCTCCTGATTGGCTATTGCAAGGCTCGAACTGCACGTCTTGTCTTATAGGCGACCTCATGCGGCTAAGAAATGAAAGTCACAATGGTGATGAATATTGAGATGTTTATGCAGTAGTAGGTTCCAGAGAACGATTGCAGTGCCTTGCTTTTTCCCCTAAGTGTATCAAATGACTGCTCATCCATTTGGAATGACTTCATCCCCTTTTTGTGTTAGTTTCGCCTTGCGTAGGACAACTGAAGAGTGGGGGGCATACGGCAAAGTGTGTCAAACACTGCCATGAATGAGTCTTACCTTGACGACTGTTGCGAACCCCAGTGGTCGGTGGACTCAACGTCGAAGCTCTGGCACTTTTTGTGTCTTCTACCTGCAATCTTACCGGATGATAGTAGTAATAATAATAATACGTATATTTCTCTTGCTGAGAGAAATTGTATAGCGGCACAGATCAATTTATACAAGATTATCCGTGCTCTTGCATGGGTGACATGCATAGGTGGAGTATTGGGATATACGTTTCATGTATTAACATTCTGGCGGATGATTTAGGCCAAAGCCTATTTATGAAAACATTGGATTTTACATGTTTTTGGGCCCTTCTTGGATTAGCTCGTCGAGGGATTTTTCCCAATGTGAATATAAAGATTATGGTAATTAGCTCAAGGTAATTGGCGAGTCTGCTTCTAAATGTTGCCACATTGTCCCATGACCTAAGTGTTATTGGTAGTTTATTCCACAGATAGCTATATCTGACCAGGAAGAAATTAGGGCGGATGTTCGTTCTAGCCTTCGGTATAGTCAGTGTGAAACCTTTGTTGCGAAGCGCTCGGGTTGAGCAATGTAAATTGAGTGTAGGCAGGTCGGAATAGGTCTTTTTGCACAGCGCTTTGAAAAGCAGCAACAAGTGCTTCAATCATCGAATCCAGAATGGTTCGAGATGAAGTTCATTGCAACGTTCTCAACAACTCATTGCAGCGTGTTTACCAATCAGATGTTTAATAATTGACCTCTGCAGGTGCTCCACAGCAATTCTGTCAATCTTTCTCATATTGCCGTATATTATGCTGCAATATTCGAAGATGGGGCGAGTGAGTAGCTTGAAAAGCTCAACTCTAGCACGAATTGTGTGTATTTTGTTTGATATCTTAAACGTAAACTGTCTGGCACCTGCTACTTGGCATTAAGCCTGTTCGGAGAAATTGAAGGTAGACGAGTACCTATTTCCAAGATCTCGCGTGGACAGCTGTGTAGGGACGCGTTCATTGTTTAGGGTGCTAGATCCTTCGAGGATGCAGCAGCCGTAAGACATGGTGCTTGATTTCTCAACCGTGAGGTTCATCACCCAGGTGCGGCCCCATGACTCAAGGGAATGCAGCCCATCTTGAATGATCAGTATTGTCCCATGAAGCTTGTCACTCCGAAGCCTATAGACGATTTTGATATTGTCAGGAAATAAAAATGGCGTACCATATTTTAAAGCTGTGGTTATGTCGTTGATCTAAAGCAAAAAGAGTGAGGGACCGAGCACACTTCCCTGAATGATCCCACTGGTGATTGGGCGTGGAGAAGAGCGATCGTAGATTATTATATACTTTTCGATTCCTCTTTGTTTGCTATTTCCTTCAACCGAAAACGTTTGGAAAGATAAGTAATAGCTTTCGGGAATACCGTGCAAAACCTTTCTACTCACACTTTGCTACGCTTTGGGGCGGATTTCCCCCACCCATTTCATCACACACCAACCAAGTTACACTCACTCTACTCGGAATTACCAGCTCTATCCAATAGATCGCCAAAAGTAATAATTCTTCCATCGCTTAATTACTTATATCATCCTACCGACTTCAGAGGAGACTTATCAGAACTTGACGCCTTTTGGTTACTTAGCCAACGGTGTCACTGCGCTCGATAGCGAAATCGCATGTGTCCATCAAACCCGGATTGGCTCATATACAGTGTTTCCCAAGACAGATACAGAACAATTTGTGCTCCGTTGTCACCGTTGCCACCTCGTCTGGCTACAGTATGATAACGAAACATGGGTCCGGAGTACCGGTTTACACTGTGTGCTTATCTTTGCAACTGTACTTAGTTCTTGTTTTAAATTCCAGGGAATTCTTGCTTGTGCTTCGTTTAGTTTCTTTCTGCCTAGCTAAGGAACATTATCGTGCACCTACTACAGCCATCTCTATATGTGAGAGCCTCTAGAAAGCTTGAAAAGTTGTTGTTTTGTGGATAAATATGTATTACAAAAGCTAATGCTCATCCATATTTTATGCATATTTCGAGTTTGGCAGAGAACGAATGTCAGTCGGAGTACGTAATGCTTGTACTTGCGTTTTTCAGCTACTATTATACTGCTGAGCCTCATCACAGCCGCTTCGTCGCGCGTACTGGCCCGACTGGGTTGGTGGCCTGGCAATCTCATCCGGTCTTTGGAACAATCAGGCCAAGGTTTCTCTGTTTTACTGCTTTGTATCAACGTTCTCGCCATTGTGAGTATTATTGGACTTACACTGTAGAAATTTGACGCTTAGTAGGCTGCTGTAGCACAAGCACAAGTGCCGGCGCACCTTGTATCTGTGGTGATTACTAATCTCTTTAAGGACCTCCTGTTGCCTTTTGAGTAGTTTAAATCATCTGTCTTGCTTAGACACGTGTAACGGGCCATTAATTGATCTAGAGATGAGTCCATCGTGTCCGTAGTTTGCCTCAGCACCTTTTTCTCTGTAAGCTCATTCACCACATGGAGCCATGTGAATGAACAGACTGTACATTGTTTGAACTTTAACCTCCTCTCGCTAGTTTGCAGCAGTACAATAGAAGCAAGGATGTAAACTAGGCCTGTGGCGTTTATGCATCACTTATATTCTTGTGAACTTCATTTAGCTCGACATAATGCCGATGTAAACCGAGGTGCCCGTTGAGTGAGCGCAGTTTTACTCAGCCTGTCAGCCACATCTCAACGCCTCACTGCGGTGTAAATACCTATCATCGCAGCAAAAATGTGACAACCAGAACCAAAAACTAACAAAAGTAGAGGCTTGATGGAGGATTATATGTGTCCAATTACTTGAAGTTTTCTCTTCGAAACGCAGTATTCTCTGACCTTCGTGCTAATCGGTTCACAGCGACTACACGGGGTACTATCGGGAAGATTTTCCACAAATAAATTATCTGGGTTCAACCTCAACGACTGCGCTTCGGAGTGTGTGGAGGGTAATCTTATGATAGTTGTCTACCATACGGCTTGTCTGCTTCCCTCGAAACTGGCGGACTATGATTCTCCAATCCTTCGAACTAATTGGCTGTTTTGATGCACCCAGAGTATATGGTTGTGTTATTGGTCACGCGGTTTTATGGACAGAAGGATGCACACAGCTAGTTTCGCTGAGTCTACCCCGCTACCTTCGTTCGGGGTATTCAGTCTCTGCTTTAGTTGCTTTGAATTTAATTTGCACTTTTACAAACCTCGATCTCTGTGTGCTGCTTCGAATTGCCCTGTCTTTTCCGCTCCTTTGACCGGATATCTTTCTTTTGCGTACCGCTTTGCTTCAATAGCACTTCCAATGACCCTTGCTTCTATTGTTCCGAGCTACTGTGTGCACACATAGCACCTATACCAGTTGTTGAAACTATGTGTTTTACAACATTGGTCGTTCTTTATAGCCCGCCTAACAGGAGATCGTGTTCCTAATGAACGGTGTTCAGGTCTTCTAACCTTAGCGCTAGATGTTGCGTGATTACGAAAACTTAAAATCACTAGCATCGTTTCCGAGTTGGATTGGTTTCTAACAGACGACACTTTTGCTGCAACTCGCGCAAAGACAATCAGTAAGAGACAACTCAATTGTGTGCATAGCATATGAAAACCTCCTTTCCGCTCTCATCACTGATGACTGTCCGTAGCAGGTTGTCCATGGACGAAGCCATGGCGACCGCATTCACTAGCCACGACCTACAAGATGTGGAGCTGCACCTAGCTGATGGACTTCTTAACTTGCAGTACGCCGACGGCATAGCCCTTATCTGTGACGGCTGCCAAACGTGTCAAGCAGCACTGGACAGATTACCACTGGTTGTCAGTCGTTTTTGGCTATGCTTCGCACCCTAAAAATACGAAGCCCTTCAAGCTTGGCAGGGACCCACCCCTGCACTGACCCTATTTGATGATCAGCTAGAAGTTCTCTTAAAGATCAAATATCTATGCTGTTATATTAGCGACGGTGAAAAAAATGTGATCACAAGCCGTAAAGCAAAAGCTCAAGGTGCTTTTGCCAATTTCCGCTATCTGTGGCGTCGTCACCACATCACTCTCACCGTGAAGGGTAGAGTTTACAATGCAGCGGAACGTTTAACCATCCTGTACGGTTACGAAACTTGGCCCACCATGTCGACAGACGTAAAAACACTACTTTAGTTCTTTCATCACTGCCTTTAGCTAATGTCTGGTGGGAATACCGCATGAGCAATGGGCGTGTTCAGCGTCATGTTTGGTGCAGTAAGAGCGAATGAACCGCTCAGCATCGTTGTTTCACGCAACAGACTCCGATGGCTGGACCACGTTTTGCGTATGCTAGTACCCTGACCCCCGCGACGTGCGTTGTTTACGCGACCGGGATGGGGATGGGAAAAGAGGAGACAGACCAAGCGATGACTGTCAAGAGGAACAAAAACCCTCACTTCGAAATTGGTGTCGATTAGTGTCTCCTGACTGCCGGGCTGGGGTCCTAAGGACGGCAAACACGTCTGGTTTGATACACTTGTTGATTTGTCGAGGAGTCGATCCCAATGACGTTTGTGTTGTGTGTTTATTTGTTCGTCCCCAGCCCACTTATCTTCCCACTCTAACAACGATTTCTGTATTGAAGCTTGCTATGTTAGCAGTATGTTACCTATTGTTCTTTGTGTTCCATCCTATTTTGTGCCTCGCTTTTTTATCTACCTTAGCTGTTTGTATTGCCGCACAATAGTTGAGGGGTGCATCTCATCTTCAGCTAGTTTGTGATTATTAGTATTTTGCATGGCAGCTGATCGATCGATGCTCCCAGCCAACGTTTGGAACAAGGGGTGACATGCTGAAAAGGCTCTCAAAGTATGGGGGTCCGTTAGTTGCCATCCGTCTCACGGCTGTCCACTAGACATTCTCAACTCTTTCCACTGTTTCCCTCTGGGCCATAGCCGTGGCCTGCTTAGTAGCATCAACCATTGCTCCCAGTTTAGTCCCGTACTGTTTTTGCATTGCCCTCAGGTCATGGCAACCGTTCTGACAATCAAATATTGGAATCCGGTTTCCAGACGGCATCAGGCCCATCGCACTCAAACCGAACAGCTGCTTAGGATAATCGCCACTGTTCTACGTGAAGCACCGGGTGCCGTTTATGTGGCGCATATTACTGGCCTGCTGATGCTGACAGCGCTGTTGCTACTGTTCACCTTGGTGTTTTTACTGCTTTTGACAACAGGTAAGTGACAAGTAACGATTGTAATAATGATGTGCTAATTTAGGGAACACAATGTAATTATTGCATGCAACTTTAGTTCCCTCTTTCCATGTTTGTTACGCATCTGGGCACACCTGGTTTCCTTTGTACTTTACAGGTGCTTAGCATCCCAGCAATGCTGTAAGCACCGTGCTCAGTAGAAATATGACAAGTCTCAACACCCCACTGTATCTGCTGGAGGATCCGCTTTCCGAATCCGTATCGTAAAATATTAGAACAAACTGTTAGTAATTGGGACATGTTCAGTCTCCGGAAACACAGCTGTTGAGTTGTGGTTTGAACCGCACGTATGTCAGCATATTCACAATGCGTACTTATGCTTGTTTTGCTATGCTTTCTGCACGTATCAAGTTATCAGAAAGGCCAGTAGTTAGATGTTGCTTCTTCGCAATGTCGACTTCTTTACAATTTTCGATGGCTTCCTTCATCAGTTTCGTTGGCCAAGACTGACGTACACATTGATCAGCAATAATCATATCAACATATCCATCCGTTTTCCCATTCGCCTGGCGCATGCATTACTTGGGTGCCTTTCGTCTCCGGTGCTTCCTCTTTGAACTGGAAGACGCGTCTTCTGGTTCAGTGTGACAACATCAAACCGATCAGTAAAGCTATCCACATCGGTGCTATTCGCAACGCAGAATGTCAGAAGTATGGTGTCCATAAGCAACAGCTCTGTCTAGACCAGAAACGGATGAAGGATGTTCGACAGTTGCACTTACATGACCCCACAGTACAGGCACTCGGTAACATTGTTTATACAATCGCGGATGTTATCTTGTCAGGTGCAGTGATTACGGTCGTAGGTTTTACTCTACTCATCCTATTGCAAAATTCCGTTGTATTAGCAGCAATTCACTTACTTCATAATGAAAACATACTGCCGAATCAATTGACTTGCGCAGAAGGCAATCTGACGGCATAAATCTGCTCGAATTAAAAGTTTTTGCAATGCAAAAGCGTGCTTATTTTAATTATTCTGTCTCTACGCTCAACAAATGTAACATAACACGCTCATACTACGACTGCACTTGCCTGTCTGCTTCCAACTGTGAACCAGGTGCCAGCTGACTACTGATATTTTAACGGTCCCCCACAACTAGGCGGATACTGCCTGCCAAGTTGATCCGTTTCTGGAGTTCACCATGACATGGACGCTTCCTAAAGGATTTAGTGTTGATATGCATATCTTTCGGGATCTCGATCACGGATCGCTTATCAGCGCGGTCCAGGATCATCCAACGCTGCTCCATACGTTACGGAACCAGAACTTCAACAAACTATTTGAACTCAAATATATTGTGCCTTTTTCTAGTGTTTTGTTCTTTTCAAGCTTTTTTCTAACTAATACTAGAACCCTTCTCTTCTTGGCTTTGGAATCTGGGCCGATCAATGCGACTGCACGACCGGAACGACTCGATGCCAGTGGCCTGCGCCACAATGGTCAGGCCTCATTAAGAGGGTTGTACCTCAAGATATGGGGTAATATGCAATGTTATTATATTATAGCGAACAGATCCTCAGCTGTATTCAGTCGCTATGCTCGATATGTCGAATTCACGGAATCGACTGTTGCCTATTTTACCAATAGCAGAACAAGTATCATCTAACGCAGCACTCTTTCGTGCTCCTGAAAGATGTGAAAGCGTCTCTCGTCTTTTTTTCTTTTACGCTCAGTTGAGACGGTACGAATGAACACGACTGGTTGCGTAACCGTTCGACCATATCCATGGATCAGTTATGGTGTTATTCCGGTTTATGTGTTCTACACTCTTTGGATGATCCGTTTCTGTCTCTCGCTCAGCCAAACAGTGACAGTTGTGTTTGTATCCTCCTGGTGAGTTATTTTTCTTTATCCATTCCATTTACCCTGCTGTCTTGCCAGCCCAGTTAATGGAAACCGTCTAGAGATCTCTCAGTATGAGCAAGCTAATAGGGTCACTTACACACACACCCTGTCACCAGTGCGATTCATCCTCCACTGTCATGCCAGTTACGAACAGGGCAGAGGATAGCGGTTGGCCCCGGAGCAACAACTTTCCACACAGCGACTGTGTATGACATGGCACTTAGAAGCTGTATGGTTGGTGTTACTGCTGAGCTGCAGCAAAGAGCGGGGCATATGAATAAGATAGTGTAAGATCAGGAAAACCATTATCAGCTCGCCTCGTGATCAACAACACCATCCACTGGGTACTTTCAAGCGTTTGTGCCTCTGTTCATAGGTCAGATTACGCATTCCATTGACGTACTTGGATGCCCGACGTTGAGGCTGCTCAAAAGCATTGAGCTCTTGCTCTGGCCTTAGTTGCCAGACTTGAATTGCTTATTCGACGTGAGGGCGAACATCATACTTAAGTATCTTTTGGATAATATAAAGGTCTGTATGTCCGAACGCCCGTCTCACCAGCCCAATGTCTTGGTTAACAGCCTCATAGGCCTTTTGGGATTGCTTGAAATGACCCAAGTCCTAAACCAGCACGCTTAAGTCACCTTCGACAGATCGCTGTGTTCGGAGCCCGTATGAGTAGGTGCTCTGGTATCGTGTGTAGAGTGTCCTCCACTTGCTTACGTTTAACTGCATGATGTTTCTGTTCATCTGCTTGTGTGCCTTATCTTGGCCACATCTTCTGGCACAAGATCCGTATTACTAACTGCAACACATCGAACGACACGGTCCGCCATACCATAATAATTATTGTTATATCAACCAAATATGGTGCACCTCAGCGCAGGTTGAGCTGGGGTACTTGTTTGTAAGAAACATGGCCGTAGCTCTACGGAAGCGTACTCTAGGAAAACCTACCGTTCATTTGTTAGTAACATAAGGGTATTTCACTCCTCCTGGTTGCGTCCATATGAAGTATTCCAAAGTTCCAACGATTGAGGTTCCACAATGCCTGCTACTAAGCCACTATAGTTGTTGCGCGCTGCTTGGCATATCCCTACGAATCAGGCAACAATCATAGGTTCTTGTAAGGTACAGGCTGATGTCAGGATACTTTGCCTTGTTCGGTTCTCGTTTTGAGTTGTGAGGCCAGATCCATGCATTAGCACTTCCACGTCACGAGGTTGTGATACCAGATAGGCAGCGACACGCGAACTATCCATCGCATGTTGGTGGAGATGGGGCCCACACTGATAGACCGCTGACTACTGCAGGCGCTTCTTGGCCAAAGACGGCACCAGTGGTAGCTGAAATGTACTCACCTCTAGCAACCCTATATATATATATATATATATATATATATATATATATATATATATATATATATATATATATTCTGTGGTACAGATATTGTGCCATCGGAATCATGGTTGGATAGGAAAACAGTATGAATAATCAGAAAAGAGTGACAACAACAAAAGCTTTTTTGTCTAGTTTACTACTCACAGTTTTTGAAATTTTTTCAGTTTGTTCTTTTCTAGGGGGAAAGAAGCGACACCGCAACACACCGATGCACACGTCCGCCATTGACATCGATCTTGAGCCATGGCTTCCAAGGTCTTCAACCAGCAAGTATCCGCATCTCTCGGACCCCAACCAGGTAGTCGACAACAACCGGCCGAGGCCAACTACTTCGTCAACTTTTTCATGCGGTTTCTCCGTGTTGTAGGCTGTCCACCAGATCGTCTCTTTCAGCCCAGTTCAGCAATCGCAAACAACGCACGACGCGGGTAACGCTGGACAGGTATGCGCAACACGTGTCCCAACCACCGCAGTTGATGCAGTGAGACGAGCCCCTCGAGCGAGTTGCTTCCACGTCCCAATATACGCTGTCTAACTTCCACATTGCTTACGTGGTGCTGCCACCACACGCGGGCAATAGACCGCAGACTGCGGTGCTCGAAAACAGATAGCCTGCGCAAGTCATCTTTACGAATGGGTCAGATCTCCCATTCGTACAACAGTACAACACGAAAGGTTGCACACTAGACCCACCCTTTGTTGTAGAGACGAATGTCGTTGCGACGCCACAAATGCCTCAGCCTAGAAAAAGCGTGGCCTGCTCTCGAGATGCGCATCGAAATCTCGTCTCCAACAGCTCTGCCAGCAGTGATGCAATTTCCCAAGTAGACGAAGCTCTCCACAACCTCCACTGTTTCACCACCAAGAGTGAGTGCAGGCAGAGGCACCTGCCATTCTTGGAAGAGAGCCTTGCATTTTGATGACGAAAAGTACATACTGTACTTTGATGCTTCAATCGTCAAGCGGTTTAGTGCAAGTTGGACGACGTGTGGATCGTCACCCAGCAAGACGATATCATCAGCATAATCCAAATCAACAACTCGACTACCTGGGAGGAGCTCAACGCCAGCGTTCAACGAATTGCCCAGAGCGTTCTTCAGGACATCCTCAATGACGAAGTTGAATAGGAACGGAGAGATAGGACATCCTTATCGAACTCCACTGTAGACCACCAAGGTAGGCGAAAGCTTGCCATAAGCCCTAATCCTGCCCGAGGTCAGGTTATAGAGAGCGCGCAGTATGGAGACGAACTTCTCGGGGACACCATTCCTCAGTAGGCAGTGCCACAGTACTGTACGATCGACAGAATCGAAGGCTGCACGGATATCCAGGAACACAGCAATCGTTGGCCTCTGATACACAGAGCGGAGCTTGAGGATCTGGCGGAGTGCGAAGATTTGATCGATGCAGCCGCGACCAGCACAAAACCCAGCTTGTTCTTCTCGTTGCGACGATTCGCGCGTTGAGGATAGCCTGCGAAGTATGATGGACACCAGCAGCTTACAAACGACGGGGATTAATCGTATGCCTTTGTATTTGGAGCAGGTTGTGCGCAGGCGCTTTTTGAAGATGTGGACGATTTTCGATTCACTCCAAGATGATGGAACTTTCTCTTTCGACCAAATTTTCGAGAACAAACGGTGAGTTCTCGAACCAGCGAAGCTCCACCATCTTTTAATAGAGCTGGAGAAAGACCATCAGGGCCGGGGGTTTTATAATGCTTGATGTGCCGGAGCTCCTGCTCGATTTCCTGGTAATAGGGAGGATATTTGGGGGTAGACCACGGCCCCAACGCGAGCGCCAGAGGTAGCAGATGGAGGTGGGGGCCAACAAAACTGCTGGCCAAAATGTTCGGCACATCGCTCCAACCGTCGTTAAAGATTGGTGATTAACGTGCCGTCCTCTTCGCATATTGTTTCACTTATACCAGATCGAACACCTTCGGTGACTCGAATGAGATGGAGAATTTCTCTGGTATTACCAGAGAGACTAGAAAGCTCCATCTTTCTATCACGTTCACACCACCAAGCTTCGCGGTCCATTTGCAGACTCCTGCGCAACTCTCGACCAAGGGATTGGCGTCCTTCACTGTGTCTAAAATCCGACGGGATCAAGCGGCGTTTGTCCATCAGCGACAAGGAGATGGCGTAAATCCAATGCTTCGGTGGCTGACGAGCAACTCCACAGGTGTCGAAACTAGCGGAAACTAAGGCATCTTTGATCTGTGTCCACTGCGAATCGAAGTCCCCGTCAATAGTTGCGCCAAGCGACGTTTACAATCAGGCTTGTTACCTGGTTAAAATCGCAAGGTTTTGTAGATTTGCGACGTACGGTAGGTAGTGATCGCGCTTGGGTCATCCTCAGAAACGCATGTAAGTCTTTGCACGAATCATTGCGTGATCGGAGTCTAGATAAGTTGACCAGTACGGTCGGCAGTCCGTTACGCTTCCGCGCCATCTGTAGCTGATTGCTTTGTGGTCAAGCTGGGAGCACTTTTGTGTTTGTGAGGGCGGGCGCCAGGTAGCAGTGTGTCTCCTCGAGTGCCGAAAACTAGTGCTCTAAAGATACAAGCGATGATCAGAGCAAAGTGGAAGCAGTCTGTCTCCATTGTCTGATCGACTGCCACCGAGACTAAAACTACCCTCAAGGTGGTGCTCGCTTGGTGGAAGGCGACCAACCCGCGCGTTAAAGTCCTCGGCCAGAATGACTATATCAGTCCTTTTGGAGGAACGCAGTAGTTCATGTAGCTGCTGGTAAAAGCTATCCTTGACTGCATCCGGACTGCAGTCTGTAGCGGCGTAGGCGGAGACGACAAACAAGGCACACTTAACGTCTCGACGCCTGCTTACATTACATGAACCTCGTAGTCTGACTACATAGCCGACTGTTGACTGGGATGGAGTCAAGCAGAGCTGATTCAGCCCTGGCACTCAGTGCAACCCCAATACCAGCTTGGCCAGAGGCGGCAGCTTCTGGGTCTCCGGAAAGCCACAAGTGGTATTTGGCGTCAGGGTTTACCGGAGAGGCCATTCTGATGACGGCGCTAGAGTCTTGTAATTTGGTCTCTGAAAGGCAACAGATGTCTACCGAGAGCGTTACAAGAGTACGGGCTAGACATGCTTGTCGTCCGATCTGCATCAAAGTTCGAACATTAAACGCTGCGAGGATGAATGGAAAACCAGGTCGAAGAAGAGCTGGAGCTTCAGTGGTGTGAAAGACGGTTGCCATCGCAGGACATTGAAAGGCGGGAGTTTGGCTGTTGCTTGCATCAGTTGCGAGACGTGGGTCGTTTGTGACGATGACCGTAGAAGACATAAGAGTACATGTGGGTGCAGGGCCGGAGGTGGGGTGATCTGTGAGTGGAGGTTGAGCGGTTGAGTTAGCATAGAAGATAGGCATAGCATGAGCAGTAGTAAGCAGTGTGGTCCATGATTCGTCAGTGGGCGTGATACTAACCGGTTGCCCAAGCCGAAGTAGAGGGTTGTCTTAAGGGGCCCTACCCAGAGCCTTTGATCTAAGATCTAACCTACAAGGCAGCAGGGCGATGTGAAGACGTCGCAACCCGTTAGGAATCAGTGACCAAATAG